TTCAATGGCTTCCAACAAACCAAGCTGAGGTTGTTTCCAGTATATCGCCCTTCTAATCACTGATCCTCGCGGCGGCCAGACAGATTGCAGTAATGTACAGATATTGCAACTGCCAGCTACCTTACAACCCTTGGCCAACTCGTCAAGACAAATAATGACCAGGTTACCACTACATCTCCACGCACATACCAGCTATTCCTGGTGTCAAATCCGGCTCGCAATTGTTACTGAAGGAATGATCGAATTGTTTGCGAAAATTTGTTCGGAGACATGGAGTAGCAGGGTATATCTCGCTACACCGTAGAACGTCAAAAAAATAAAGGAGAGGACGGCGTAGGGTTGCCGAGGGATTCCCAGAATATCGTGCCCTGTTCGTTCGTGAACCCGCTTGTTGCTTTCCCTACACCAAAATATAAACGCCGAGGATTCGTCGAGAGGATCGATCCACCGATGACATGAACAAAGTCCCTAAACGCCGGAGGTATGCCGATGAAACAATAGAGTACAGGCAAGAGTCGTTCATCGTAAAGGGTTCTCTGCTTATGCGTTGGTGACCTGAATATGGTGATTAGTGGTCATGATCTGATTGAATGTAATGATAAACCTACTCGGAGAATCTTCCTTGAGTAATCTTGGTTGTCAGCGATGCTTCCATCGCTCAGTCTGCGTTGGGCCATGACGGGGTCAAGACGCGAGTCAGAGATAGAGAAACCTCCGCTGCTGCTGGGAGGCTTGGAGCCATGAATGAACGCGTTGACGGCAGCATTGCGGCGGTGCTCCTCTTCGATTTCCTTGTTCCTCCTACGACGCATGAAGAAGAAGATGCCTCCAACGATACCTGCAACCGCCACAACACCCACGACAACTCCGGCGGCGATACCTGCGGTGTTGGATGATGATTTCTTCGCAGTTGATGTCTCTGATTCCTGTGCGCTGCTTGTCTGTGTTACGATGACGACACTTCCTACAAAGGTTGTTAGCCGGGAGGCAACGTCAAGATGATGGGGATGATCTCACCTGATACTGTCACGACGGCTGGCTTTGTGGCTGACGCACTCGCAGATGCTGATGAGATCACATCGTCATCTGAGGACTCGACATTTAACATGACACCAGTATTGTAAATGGTCCAGTAATTGAGACCACCACCTAGACCATGTCAGAATTTTAACTTTCACAAACAAGGGTGCTGCGGCCGACATACATGCTTGTTGATCGTACCCTGCACAAGGGCTATTGCACTTCTTGTCGTCGACAAGAGTGCTCTCCGGTGGGTACTTGTCGCCACAGTAGCATTCATTGCCTCCGCTGGTTCCGGCGACCTTTTTCCCTGACGCGTAGCAAATCTCGAATGCGCAGCTGCTCTTAGAGTTGAAGGCCGGAGTGGAGTTGAACTTCAATTCTCCTTGAGATGAGAAGCATCCCTGGACGATCTGAGCTCCGAGAATAGGTGTCGAGGAAGGCTCTTCGACACCCTTCGAAGTAGTGGCTGCTGCTGCGGCAGGGACGGGTTCACCATAGCATGTCTTGGCGATCACAAAGACCGCGGCGAAAAGGCCTGTAGTTCTCATGTTGGATAACGGCGAAAAATCTGAACGATAGGATTGAATAGAATAGAAAATATTGAATTCGCGTTTCGAATCGGGTCAACGACTCAAGGTCTCGGGTCGATTGATGACGTTTCTCGAACAAAAGCGGTCTCCACTGGGGAGGACAGGCTCGATAAAACAGAAGCGAGTGTGGTCGAGACGACGCTGTCGAGAACGACGTTCGATGTTCTTTGTCCCGTCGACGATGGCTGTGTGCCTCGAGGTTGTTAAGCGTTCTCTCAGACGACGAAGAGGATGAAATCAATTGGTGACAAAGAATCAAACAAAACGGTCGATGATGGCGGTAGTGCTGAAAGAATGTCGACCACGGTGTCGTGTCCCTTTGTGGACTCGGACTAGTTCCTCTGTTCTATTCTCCTGGTCGTGCTCGTGAGTGTCCGATTCTTCTCTGCGCCCTTGAGTCTGTCGAGTCACTGGCGAGAGGACATCGATCGGGGCGGGGTTGGGCGTGTTCCAGCTTTCCTCGTCGTAGAGTCTGAGGAGAGAAAGGGATGGTTGATGCTTTGGATGCAATGCAACGATCGTTGGCGTGGCTGGGCTGGCTGGAATTGCAAAGGGGAGAGAATTGGAATGGAAGGACCGATGGAGAGGGAAAAGGCGGAAAGAGCCAGGAGCTGGGCGAGGGTGGAGATGGAAAGAGCGGACGGGATGGCCTGATAGGACAGGAAGCCACGACGTGACTGACGATTGCTGAAACGAGCGAAAGGAGAGGAAATTGAGTGACTCTTAGGTAGGTCGTCAGGCCCGTGAAGGTGGAGAGAGCGACTTTTGTTGTGTTGGAAGGGGATGATGGGAGGTGGGAAAGAGCGAACGAGGGCGTGCGTGGTGAGATCTGGGCGGCGGACCACAGGGAGGAGAGAAGCACCTGCTCTTTCCCTTTCCTTCTTTCGTGTGAGGTGCACCTGCCCGTGGAGTGCAAGCCAGTCGAGCCAGTGAACAGCCAGTGAGGGAAATTACCTCTGGAGCCGGCTGGATAATACGGGTACGTACCGCAGCCAGCGCGATTATCGCCTGTGAGTGGCCCAACGTGCCCTGTTGTTTCCCTCTGTTCCTGACCGTTGAGGAGGGTAGCCCCTGCTCTTGCCCTTCTCCCCTGCGTTAGGATCCACACTCTACGGATATTCTGGGCCTAGTGTTGTGGCTCCCTGACGCGGCCCTCCATCCAATGAAAACAATGCCCTGGATGATTTGCCTCCTTAATTGGCTGGAATGGCCCCCCCAATAACAGAAAGAAACACCCACTGCCCTTGTGGCCCGAAATGGCTGGAGCCGGCCTTGAACACAAACCTGGAAAGTCATTCAGGAACGGAAGCGACATCCCTGGGCGTTTTCAGGGGATGAAATTGGAAGGATGATCATCTTGTCCACATCGGCTTGAGGGGCCAGCTGTAATGTGTACCTTTTCATACGCATCACGCTGTTAAGGATTTGCTATTGAGGCCCCTACAATAGCACTCCTGGCTTGCACCACATTCCTAACAGAACGCGCCTTCTCACGCGTGCTGTGTACCTTCTTATCTAATGCACATGTCGAAAATGAGGGTCGATATGAAGCCATTCATAAATTTTGACCACACCCAAACGCTGCATTGCCACCACCACATTGATCTTGATCAGATCCTACAAAGACTCGTGAATCAAAGTAGAGCAGACTACGGATTGTACGCGGCGGCGGACTTCGTCTGACGATGTTGAAGTTGGGGATCGTGTTCAACAGTGGTTCAGTATGAGACATGAGAGACACGATGAACGCAACATCACACCTGGCCGTTTCAAGCAACGACACAACCGGGACGAAAATAGGTACTCTACAAACACATACAGCGCACTGCTTATCCTGGCGAGCTGGGTATGACGGCGGGTAAGAAGTTTGTTTCGAGACGGGACAACTACAGTAGGAACCTCTTAATCCGCGGGTGATGATCTTATCTGCCGTCGCATCCCTACACACACTTCCTTCCAGTTCCTGGTACCGATTCTCATCAAGACGGCCCGCTGGAAATTGCAGCCATAGCGATGCACATAATGCAATTGCACATCTCTTATGCGCGCGAAGCTCCGTTTGTTTCCCTCGAAGCTGGTTGTTTCATGTCTGGCCCCCACCAGTCGCGCCCGCCTTGGCGGGGATTCAGATTCTGTCTATAACGCCAGTGGCGTAGCGTGTCAAGCATGGCCATCCAGACTCATTCACAAAACAACAAGCTAGTAGAAGACTGATTCACACAGCAAATATTCACAGGGTTCACGGTTTGTTAAGTCTTTTCCTAGTTGCAAAGACCCTTCGTGACGGTTCGACACGACATATGTTGTCTACACTCGGGATTTGGGCTATGCATCCAAGGACGATGTGGCAGAATACGAGAGGCACAGTGACTGGACACTTCGGTCGTACTGAGTAACCCACTTGCCGCTGACAGAATGAACGGAAGACTGCGCACGTAGCCTCGTAGCGAGCATAATCAGGGCCTTGTGATGCTGCAGCACCGTACAGTCTGATACTGTATAAGTGGATGCCCGCCCAGACGACCGAAGCTGTGCGACGCTCGCTAGGCGGGTGGCTTGCTTCGGGCGTCAGCCAAAATCCACATCACATCCCTGGGAGAAGCAGCAAGTCCTGAACGTTGGGTGGCCTCAGACAATAGACTCTGCTCCCTACAGCCAGCAGGAATCGAGCCATGAATGAATCAAGAAATATCTGCGAGCCAAGATGCTGGCTCCAGGGATGAGATATAGGCGCATTGAATTCCAGCACTGAGTTTAATATCGGTATGAGAACACTGCCTCAGCAGCCCCAGGCCGGATCCCGGACTGCGAACGACATCATCGATGTACTAATCCACAGGGGTCCGAAGTGTCCGATTCGACTCAAGTGAACCTCCAGAACTCCGCACTATCAAAATCGATTCAATAGTTTACCGCCTGCCAGGTGGCTTACCAACGCGTATCTTTTGTGCGAAAACGACAACTTGTACACACTTATACGGCTCATTTCTTCCATTGAGAAGCATTGATGATTCACCCCACTAATACTTACCAAATGCGTAGTCGTAGAAGTTCAGGAGGTGTCGTATCTGCTGCAGTTGTCTGTGCATAGAACAGCCGACATAATGCCAACGCACCACCTTCGGGCCCTGCAGGGTACGAACACAAGCGCTCTACCTAGCCACATGTGTGAGCCTCACTACGTATATTCCGTGCCATGTTCTTTTAGCAAGGCCCAGTTGCCCTGTTTTGAGGTATCTAAATCAGGCGCCTAAGCACTATAGGAGAGTTTGAACCACTTCGGCGGCAATGAAGCCATTCGCGGAGGACACAATGCTGATCACTGGGGAAGCCCCGGAGTGTGCCTTGTTTTGACCCCGTGCTTGCAGCCGTCCGGCATCAATAAACTCGGCCTCGTATTCAGTGCAAAGACCACACGACTCCGGCTGACCCGATGGAGAAGACACGCGGCGCGCGCCGTAAGTTAGCCTACCATTTTACATTCTTGGTGCTGGAGGCCCACGCATCGATGAATCGAGATGCCCAGAGGTTGCATTGACGGGCCCTTGCTTTGCATGCAGTTTTTTCTTTGTAGTGGATAATGTGTCGTCACCCAATTCCATCCAGGAACTAATCCCAAAGTAATTCTTTTTTTAGCTTATGATTCTTCACCTTGGCTGCGGGTGCTTCTTGTCGACAACATCGTATTCATACCTTGCGTTCTCTGTTTTCCCCTTATACCAAGACCTATGCACTTTTCACGGCATAGTCGAGATTAATGAGGCTTGCACTGCCGTTCGCTTCAGGGACCACTGTGGAGCTGGGACTTTGCTGCTAAAGGCGCCAAAGAGACCCCTGACAGGATGAGCGCGCCATGCCCCATGTTATCAAGAGCTTCTAGATCTCGTACGAAGCCCCTACATCAAGCAAATATTTTCGGAACGACAAGCTTTCCTATTCAGGATGCTTTTACCTAAGTTGAGAAGTTGGGGTACTTCTGAATTCCTCTGTAGGTATTGATGGACTTATAGTTTCTGGAAGTACCTTGTCAAAGGCTCACTTTGGTATCCGACATATAACACTTGTCCGCTTCAAGGCGGTGAGTGGCTGTTTGCCTCAATCATACCTTGACAAGTCTTTCCTCCGTTATCCGTACGGGTAATTACTTGCCAACTCGCTTAGAGCTAGGCTTTAGATCCCAATGCTTGATGTCATCGAACGCGGAGATGATAACTCTCGATAATAATCAATGACTCAGTAATTTGTCTTGAATCATTGCCGACTTGTTCCTTCTTTCTGATATCTGTTATATGCCATGATACGGCCGAAACTTTCATCTACACTCTCTGTGCCCAGCAAACGGCCATCGTTCCGCCGGCACATTCGGTGAAGCCTTACGCCTTTACTCAAACAGCTTCATCTGATTGCCTTGGTATCACACAGCGCGCACGAGAGCCGAGGCAGGCGAATAGCGGCTGAGTGCAGCTTGACAGCTATCCCAACCACCTGGGTATAGGTGATCTGCCACCATGCCCATCAGAAGTTCCAGCATCGGCATAGTAAGACCTTCACTAGGTCACATCCATTTCTGTAGTACCGCTACGATATAACCCGCCGAATACATGATTATCCGAGACGAGGTTTACGTCCGGAAAACACCACAGGTAATTTCTCATTGTCAGAACTTCCACGGGCGGCTCGTGATGTCAGGTCAAGAATGCCCCGAAAGAATGTCAAATCCCGGCCGGCAAGCTTTGAGCCAATGCCAGGTCTCGGTTGATAAATAGCAAACGACATGTTAGCCATAATCACCTTTCATTGGATCGTGAATGCCGTTCGAAAGCCCTGCTCTCGTTTGTTCAGAGAATACAAAAACCTCTCTCGGATCATCTGTCATCTGGTTCAGTTGTGTCCTGTCCATCCGTCAAATCCGCACTTCTAGCTGCTTTCTCAACACGTCAAAACCCACATCAAGCAAG